ATGCCTACTAAAATAAATCCTGGGAAATTGCATGACATTTAACAAGAGTTTTATTGGGGTCAATCAAGAAATAATACAACTACACAGCTACCTGCACATAAGGAGAGTAAATTTCCATGCATTTGAAACCTCAGGGAGGTGAGAAGTTCATAGTTATGCGGTCAGTGGAAAATAAGTTTAACTTTTACTTTGCCTATATACTTGGCATTGGATGCCTAGCAGTGCTATGATGAGAAGGATTTAGGATCTTTCCCTGACCTAGTGGGAAAAGTCAACCATTATTGATTAGTGATGTCTACCATGGATATGTCATCTTAGAGTGGTGCTGTTTGTGCTAGATATTTGCTATCTTTGGTGACAACTCAATTAAAAACCTTTAATCATATTGTTGATTATTCTTAATTGACAATTAAGAATAAAAATGCACGTGTTTTGTTTCATTCAGAAGATACTTATTTGAAGTTATTAAACTGTATAGAAATCCCATCTTATAATTAAAGCTTTGGAAATGTTTACTTCAATTTTATTTTGAAACTGGAAACTAATTATGCAAATAAATGACTGAATTTTTTTTCTGACTTAAAGTTGGGCTTATCTTAAATTTTACTTTGGGTTGAAATACTAATTTCTTTCTTCTGATCTTCAAGGCTTCATCTAAAATTGAAATTTTGGCTAAGCATAATAGTTTTTCTCTTCTCCGAGCACTATTTCCCATCTTCTGCCAGCCTCCCTGCACTCCCCATCTCTTTTCATTTCTTAATGAAAAGCAAGTATATTTCTCAAAAGAAACATACTTTTAACACCTTGGCTAAATAAAAGAAGGGGTACATAAGAAAATGCAAGAAGTGGAGAACAATTTCCCAAAGGGATTTAATAACCACATTTAAAATAATTGCAGAAGCAGAAGCCCACACATCATGCTGACAACCTTGAATGCAAAGCAAAATACTTAAATGTGAAGATCTGAGAGCTCTGTGTTCCAGGTCAGCTTTCAGAAAATATGTTTTCAAGCGTCTTCTGTTAATCTCCATAAAAAGCCAGGAAAAGATAAATTTTATCATTTTAAAAAGAGATTTATAAGGTGTTACAACCATGTATTGTACATCTCCAAGGGAAAAAATTTAATGAGGGGTGATAATTATTCAGATTCAAAACATGTTGTAGAAGCCAAGACAAACTTAAACAATTAGAAAAATATTAGGATAAAATTATGCTGAATTGAAAACAAAGGAATTATATACTAAAAAGGTTCGTCAGGACAATACTACTGAAATATTTAAATGGTTTACACAGATAATAATGAAATGCACTATGAATGGCGTATTTTCTGTGAAATGAAATTCTTTTGAATTTGCAAACTAACTTTAATAATTAAATTGGCTATAAATGATAGAACCTAGATTATAACTGTGGAAACAATTTTGGATCTATTGTTGATCCTAATCTGATAAATATATTGTAGTTATAAATAGGAAAATAGAGAAAATAAAGATGGAACAAATGCACACAATATTAAATGTTAAGATTAGTCCTTGCTTTTTTTCTTTTATATTATACCCATGAAAATATTTCAGACATATACATAATATCTTTTATCATGCAGGTTTCTCCAAAGTTTCAGGCCGTCAGTAAAACAACCACTCAATAGCTCTGCAGTTGGAATATTTGGAGAAAAAGGAAGAATCACATTCATTTTTGTTCTTTAGAGACAATTAAGAGACGTCACATGAAAGACATTTGATTTGTGGGTAGGAGATAATGAGATGTGCTCTGATGGCAGAATTTTTGGGTGGAGATCAGGACCTAAACTTATCTTACTGAGTTCAAAAGGAATTGAACTGGGTGGTGAATACATGGATCTATGCATTTGTCAAAACCCATAGAATTCTATACCAAAAAGAGTGAACTTTAACATATGCAAACTAAGAAAACAAAAACATCAACCTGAATGTTCAAGGGCAAATAGATTAAACTTTGTTACAAATGTATGACATATCTGCACTGAAGAAGATGGGGAAAAAAGGAGCTGACCTATGTAACTTTGGGAAACAGTGTTTTGCCTGTAAAGCTAAACTTTAAAGTTAAAAACAAAAGTAAAGAAACTGTAAAGCTGAAGACAAAAGGAATGGTACATAAACACTGTGCTCTAGTTGGCAATTTTTTTCCCATGGAAGTACAAGTTAGCAATTCTGAAAAGGCTTTACATGTATCCTGGGATTGGATAAATAAATAAAAATAAGGTGGATAGTGGGTTCCAGGTTTCTCAGTGTTGGAGAAAAGGGTTACAGATAAGCAAGAGGGGAAGGCTAGAATAAACTCCATGGTACTAGATCAGAGTTGGAGACATCAGTGTGAACTCATGTTTAGCTTAATACTGATATGGATGGTAGATATAGAAACAACCATAGATCTCTGTATATGCATAAGTTAGTATATATATATATATATATATATATATATATGTGTATTACTTAGTTCTGTTTGTTGAGAGGTCCTAGAAGCAATGATACCCCACTAGTAATGAGCACACACAGTACCCAGATCTTGGTTTCTAAATACCATTGTAATCAAACTAACCAGGGGTCCTTGGAGAAATAATTGATTTTAGGGCTGAGCCAGGAAAAATACAAGGTGAGCCTGCATTATGTTGCAATGGCAGAAAGTAAAGAAGTGATCAAAAAACAAAACACGTCAAGGGGACACGGAAGCCAACTGAAAGAGTTCCCAATGACAAAAGCCGGAAAATTTGAGCAACAAAATAAATAATTTAATATAAAATAAATATTCATGAGTCCATACTGATATCAATAAAGGAAGACTAATCTTTCTTACATGACAATTACAAATAATTAAGCTTAATTATCCCAAATAATTTAGCTCCATCAAAGAGCTTAATCTCCCCCATTGTCCCTCTTTCCCCTTGAGAGGTTAGTGCATGAATAAGGAAAAATAGCAAGAAATATTAAAAAACCTGGCAAACACTACCTCTACCAAGTGATGAAGGTTAACCAGTGGTGGTGTGGGCACATCTGGTACCTGTGGATATATGTGATGAGAAGGACACTTCACTTCTGCGGAATTCTTCCAAACACCTGTAACTCTAGTCTAATCATGAGAAAAAGAACAGATAAACCAAAATTGAAGTGTAATAAGAAATATATATGGTGTTTGTCCCCACTTTCTGGCACAGAGTTCCTAAAACCTTTGGAATTTCCTAAGTAATAGGAATGTCTTTTGTCATTCATTAGGAATCCCTTTTGAGCACACCTGAGTTTATGCTAATGAGGTGAATGAAGGTAGGGCCCCTAGATAGCCTCAGGATGGGTCTGGTCACCAAAAAGACCAAGTAATTAGATGGTTAGATCTTTCAGTATTACCTCCCTCACCTATGAGGAGGGGAGAGGGGCTGGAGGTTAAATCAATCATGCGTGTGTAATGAAGTCTCCATAAAAACGCAGAGAGCATGGAAGCTCTGTGCCCTTTCTCTATCTGGCTATTCCTGAATTATTTTATATTATAATAATTATTTTATAATAAACTGGTAATCTAGTAAGTAAAATGTTTCTCTGAGTTCTGTGAGCCATGCTAAAAAATTAATATGGGAACCTTCAATCTATAGCTATTTCCCCAGTAAATAGTGTCACAGACCAGAGGAGACAAGACAGCTAGATGCAATGTGGTACAATTGAGGAACAAAATAAATGATGTAGTACTATATTGTAATTAGATTGAATCCTGAAAGAGAAAAAGACAGAGGATTCACATACCTTTTAAGAAAAAGTGTATATATATATATATATTATACAATATATTAAATTCACAACCAGTTATTTGTAACATCATACACATTTTTAGAATTGTTGCTGACTTTTGGAAGATCTTTTTCAAGTTCTTTCATATATGAGCTGTAAGATTTCAGAATATCTTAAGTGTTCTTGTGCAGTAACTAATCTTAAATCCTCTTGCAAACATTTAAGAGTTGAATCAAAAGCATTAGAAGCATTCATAGAAGCCATTTTTACCCAGGACAGTTAGCAATAATTGAACTATACAAGGAGGTGACTACAAACCTCATAAATATATCCCCAGAAATCCAAAGTGTTTGAAATGTCAAGGCAAAATAACCAATAACTATTCTATAGAAAAGAGAAGTAAGGTGAGTTTTACTTGAGCCATAGTGAGGATGATAACCTGGGAAGGTCTTAGAAAGTGTTCCAGAGAAACATGGTTTTCAGTACAGTCTTACTTTTTAGTTGCTTTTTCTTTTCTTTTTTCTTTTTTTTTCGTGAGGAAGATTGGCCCTGTGCTAACATCTGTTGCCAATCTTCCTCTTTTTGATTGAGGAAGATCGTCCTTCAGCTAACATCTGTGCCAATCTTCCTCTGTTTTGCATGTGGGATGCCACCACAGCATGGCTTGATGAGCAGTGTGTGAGTCCCCACCTGGGATGGAAAACTACGCACCCCAGGCTGCTAAAGAGGAGTGCGTGGACTTAACCACTTTTTATATCTTTGTAGAACAAAGAATGTGCATTAAACACACCCATGATACATTTTCAAAGTTTCAGAGAGGTATTTAGTTGCAAATTAGCAGGTCAACATGACCCTGACATAGAGAAAGGGAATCGTTACCAATAGAGCGGAGGAGGGGAAGTATGCATTCTTAAGAGAGGGCATTCTTTACTTTAATGGTTAAAGCAGATGGACAATGTATGTTTGATAGGCCATAAGTCAGGCTTCTTTAGCTCAAGCGGAATCAGTTTTAAACCCAAATAGTTACCCCATGTACCTCAATATGTGAAAATCCCTTGTCACTTCAATTTTTCTGTAGTCAGATCCCCCCAAGAAGTCACAGGGGCATAACAATCCCTCTCTGCATGGGGAAATGTGTTGAGGGTGGGGTGGGGGAGTGGGGAGTCAGTAACGAAAGAGACTGATTATGGTTAGTTTATACTATTGCAAATTTTGTGAAAATATATGACAATACAAAGATAATGCTAAGTTCCTTCTAAGCCCTAACATCTGATTTTAGTAATAAGATATCAATATTTAAACTTGAACTTAAAAGTAGTGAGGAAATTCTTTAGGCCTCAAGCCTAAGCAGCATGTTTCAACCAGATAGCCAATCATTGGCAAATCAATATTGTCCCAGCTAATAATCAAATGGTAATCTGTGTTTTATTTATCTCCTTTACATATTGAATCCTTATATGCATTTCCCTCAGGAACACAGAGGTGAAGGAGGGAATGGGGCAGGCAGAAAAGTGAAATTCAGGAAAAGATTTGGGCAGACTTCCTGGCCATATAAAATCTAATATTTATTTTTAAAACACTTATATGGTATATCTGTGTTCTAGGTACTAGTCTCAGTCCTTTATTAGTATTAATTCGTGTAATCTTCATAACAACTCAGTAAGTAATTACCGTTATCCTCCCATTTTTTGGAAGAGGAAACTGAGGTACAGAGAGATTAATTTGCCCAATTCATAAGGTAAGTAAGGCAGAACCAGAATTTGAAGAGTATAAACCCCACCCGGATCCTGTGAATTTTTTAGAAAGCAGCAGTTGCAAAGGGGTGACCAGTGCGGGGAACCTGGCCCTCTGATTTTGCTTGTTAGTCAATAAATGCACATTAGGATTTGTCCACCTTTGAATGGGTCATGCATTTCAGTTTGTTGAGTCTCCACAACTCTTTGATGCATTGCTCTGTCACTTAACATATTTAAATCGTTTGCCTGGCCTCTGACAGTGTTTGGGTTTTATACAAAGAAAATGAAATAAAAGGTTGGAATGAGAGAGCAATGGAAATAGAAAGAGAAATCAGGGAGTCCAAAAAATGGGGAGAGAAGGAGGAAATATGGAAAAGCACCTGACAAGAAGAGGGTTATAGGGAAGCATCTGAACCAGCTGGCCACCTACATCTCCACTAATAAAATGATGCAGTGAAAAGAATTGAGTCCAAATCCTTACATTGCTTTCCCTTAAAAAAAGAGGGGAAAGAATGGAGAAGGAACCAAAGATGGACTCTGTCCTTCTCTCCTCTTGCTCAGTTTTGCCTGGTTCTACAAATACTACAGATGCATTTCCAGCAACAGAAGAAATCCCCTCCAACCTTTATCCAATCGTCTCTGGGACTCTTATTCAGACTTTAGATCAATTAGGTCCTTTTCTGTTTTGGACCAACCTACAATCATATGGAAAGAATTCTTTGAGACACAATTAGTAATTTATTGGTCTGAAATCAAGTCTTCTTCCAAATAAAATAGAAGGTAGCTCAGCCTTCTGTCTGTTAGAGCACATTTTTTTATAAGTGGCAAGCAGCCCTACCTTTATGGCCCATCAAAACCAGAGCAAGTGAAAGAGGGGAAACAAAAACAAGTTAGAAAGAAAATTTAAAATACCTAGCACTTTCGGCTCTATATCCACATTTAAACATGAAGAAATCCTGGTCTTGGACATACACATATTTGGCATGAGAACTTGGACTGCTTCTTTTACTGATGTTTGCTCAGTCTTTCAAAATGACAAATATGAGAAAGCCTTGGTAAATGAGTTTATTTTGGAGATTTGTTAAGAGTCTGTTCACTGCTGGAACAGTATACAGAAAAAATCTAAAATCATAAACACTCACTCCAGAAATAAGTAACTCTCGGCACTGACACACTTAGCAACGCTACTAAAGAAAAGGCAAGTGCTTTCACCATACTCTGAGAATAGGCAAAGCAGGAATCAAATAAAGGAATAAGGGTGTAGGAATAAGTAAATAAGGGAATAACTAAAAGATGTTCACCATGCACGCAAGTGACCCTTCCTCGGGCTTACTAGGAGAGCTGTGTAAAAGGGTCTTTGAAAAAGCCACTTGTGAAAGTTCAATTCCTAGCTAAGCCAAGGCTGCTCTGCCTTCTATAAAGTTAACACAGACAATCAATTTCTTCAATATCTTCTGCAAAATTAGAATAAGAGGATACTATAAAGTATTGGGCTGGGTCACTATGAAAATAACTAGTTGTCAACAGAAAAGATAGTTGTGTCCCCCTTGCCCCAAAAGCTTGAAAATAAATACGAACCACGTTGGCTGCAAAAAAAATTTTAGCTCACTGGTTTCCTCTTTAATCAGGGTTGTTTTCTGCCTCCTGGATTCTTGCATTACAAACCAAGGAAGCTAGATTTTTTTGGTTTTTTTGTGAGGAAGATCAGCCCTGAGCTAACATCCATGCTAATCCTCCTCTTTTCGCTGAGGAAGACTGGCTCTGAGCTAACATCTATTGCCAATCCTCCTCCTTTTTTTTCCCCAAAGCCCCAGTAGATAGTTGTATGTCATAGTTGCATTTCCTTCTAGTTGCTGTATGTGGGACGCGGCCTCAGCATGGCTGGAAGAGCAGTGCGTCAGTGCGCACCCGGCATCTGAACCCGGGCCGCCAGTAGCGGAGCGCGCGCACTTAACCGCTGAGCTGCGGGGCTGGCCCGGAGGCTAGATTTTGTATGAACAGAGTGCTTACACAGATCTCATCCCTTTCATATGTATCTTCCAATTTCACTCCTTCTATTAACATGATCATGATCTTCCCAAACAAACAACTCACTTAACAAAAGAAGAATTTAGTTTTTAGAGCAGTTTTAGATTTATAGCAAAATTGAATAGAAAGTACAGAGAGTCCCTGTATATCCCTTACCCCTACACATGCATAGCCTCCCTTACTATCAGTATCTGGAACCAGAGTAATACATTTGTTACAATCAATGAACCTATATTGACACATCATTATTACCCATAGTCCATAGTTTACATTATTGTTCACTGTTGGTGATGTACATACTCTGAGTTTTGACAAATGTATAATGACATGTATCCACCATTATAGTATCATACAGAATAGATTCATTGCCCTAAAAATTTTCTGTACTCTGCCTATTTATCCTTCCCTCCCCCAACCCCTGGTAACCACTGATCATTTTACTAACTCCATAGTTTTGCCTCTCTAGAATGTCATATAGCTGAAATTATACAGTATGTAGCCTTCTTAGATTGATTTCTTTCACTTACTGATGTGCATTTAAGATTCACCCTTGTCTTTTCACAGTTTGATAGCTCATTTCTTTTTACTGTTGAATAATTTTCCATTGTCTGGATGTACCACAGTTTATCTAACCATTCACCTACTGAAGGACACCATGGTTGCTTCCAAGTTATGATTTGTGTGAATAAAGCTGCTCTAGACATCCATGTATAGGTTTTGTGTGGACATAAGTTTTAAACTCCTATGAGTAAATACCAAGGAGCATGATTGTTGAATTTTATGGTAAGAGTATCTTTGGGTTGGCAACAAACCACTAAACTGTCTTCCAAAATGGCTGTACCATTTTGCATTCCCACGAGCAATGAAAGAGAATTCCTGTTGTTCCACATCTTTGCCAGCATTTGTTGTAATTAGTATTCTGGATTTTGGCCATTCTAATAGGTGTGTAGTGGTATCTCATTGTTGTTCTAATTTACATTTCCCTGATGCCATATGATGTGGAGCATCTTTTCATATGCTTATTTGTCATCTGTATATCTTTTTTTAGTGAGGTGTCTGTTCAGGTCATTGGCCAGTTTTTTAGTCTGGTTGTTTATTTTTTATTGTGTTGAGTTTTAAGAGTTCTTTATATATTTTGGATAACAGCTCTTTATCAGATATGTCTTTTGCAAATATTTTTTCTCAGTATGTGGGTTGTCCTCTCAGTTTCTTATCAGTGTTTTTTACAGAGCAGACATTTTTAATGTTAAGGAAGCCCAGATTATCACTTCTTTCTTTCATGGATCGTGCCTTCACTGTTGTATCTAAAAAGTCATCACCAAACCCAAGGTCGTTTAGATTTTCTCTTATGTTAAATTCAAGGAGTTTTATAGCTTTATGTTTTACATTTGGTTCTGTGATCCATTTTGAGTTAATTTTTGTGGAGGCTGTAAGTCTGTGTCTAGATCCAGTTTTTTGCATGTGGATGTCCAGTTGTTTCAGCACCATTTGGTGAAAAGACTCTCTCTTATCCACTGTATTTCCATTGCTTTTTTGTCAAAGATCAGTTGACTATATTTATGTGGGTCTATCTCTGGGCTGTCTATTCTGTTCCGTTGATCTATTTGTCTATTCTTTCACCAATACCACACTGTCTTGATTACTGTAGATTTATAGTGTATCTTGAAGTTGAGTAGTGTTAGTCCTCTAATTTTATTCTTCTTCTTTAACGTTGTTTCAGCTGCTCTGGGTATTTTGCCTCTCCATATAAACTTTAGAATCAGTTTGTTGATATACATGAAATAATTTATTGGTGTTTTGAATGGGATTGAATCTATAGACCAATTTGGGAAGAACTGAAATCTGGACAATATTGATTCTTTCTATCCATGAAATGGAACATCTCTCCACTTATTTATATGTTCTTTGATTTCTTTCATCAGAGTTTTGTAGTTTTCCTCATATAGAACTTGTATACATGTTTTGTTAGATTTGTACCTTAGTATTTCATTTTGGGGGATGCTAATGTAATTGGTTTTGTGTTTTTCATTTCAAATTCCACTTGCTCATTGCTGATATGTAGGAAAGTGATTGACTGTTGTATATTAACCATGTATCTTGCAACCTTGCTATAATCATGTATTAGTTCCAAGAAGTTTTTTTTGTTAGTTCTTTCAGATTTTCTACATAGAGAGTCATGTCATCAGCAAGCAAAGACAGTTTTATTTCTTCCTTCCCAATCTATATACCTTTGTTTCTCTGTTTTGTTTTATTGCATTAGGTAGGACTTCCAGCACAATGCTGAAAGGAATGGTGAAAGGGGACATTTTTGCCGTGTTCCTGATCTTAGTGGAAAAGCTTCTAGCTTCTTGCCACTAACTATGGTGTTAGCTGTAGGGTCTTTGTAGATGTTCTTTATCAAGTAGAGAAAGTTCCACTTTATTCCTAGTATACTGAGAGTTTGTATCATCAATGGTTGTTGGATTTTGTCAAATGTCTTTCTGCATCTATTGATATAATTATGTGATTTTTCCTCTTTAGTCTATTGATGTGATGGATTACATTAACTGATTTTTGAATGTGGAACCAGCCTTGCATACCTGGGATGAGTCCCACTTGGTTGTGGTGTATAATTCTTTTTATGTATTGTTGGATTTGACTTGCTAATATTTTGTTGAGAATTTTTAGATCTATTTTCATGAGAGATATTGGTCTGTAGTTTTATTTTTTTGTAATATCTTTGACTAGTTTTGGTATTAAGGTAATGCTGGCCTTATAGAATGGGTTACAAAGTATTTGCTCTGCTTCTATCTTCTGAAAGAATTATAAAAAATTAGTATAATTTTTTCCTTAAATATTTGGTGTAATTCACCAGTAAACCCATTTGGGCCTGATGATTTCTGTTTTGGAAGATTATTAATTATTGATTCAATTTCTTTCTTTTTTTAAAGATTTTATTTATTTATTTTTTTCCCCTTAAAGCCCCAGTAGATAGTTGTATGTTATAGCTGCACATCTTTCTAGTTGCTGTATGTGGGATGCGGCCCCAGCATGGCTGGAGAAGCGGTGCGTCGGTGTGCGCCCGGAATCCGAACCCGGGCCGCCAGCAGCGGAGCGTGAGCGCTTAACCGCTAAGCCACTGGGCTGGCCCCTCAATTTCTTTTATATATATAGGCCTATTCAGATTGTTTTTTTCTTCTTGTGTGACTTTTGGCAGATTGTGTCTTTCAAGAAATTGGTCAATTTCATCTAAGCTATCAAATTTGTGGACTTGGATTTGTTCACAGTATTCCTGTATTATCTTTTTTTAATGCCCATGGGATTTGTAGTGATGCTCCCTCTTTCATTTCTGGTACTAGAAATTTGTGTCTTCTCTCTTCTTTTCTTAGAAAGCCTGGGTAAAGACTTACCAGTTTTATTAATGTCTTCAGAGAACAAGCCTTGGTTTTGTTGATTTTCTCCATTGATTTCCTGTTTTCAATTTCATTGATTTCTACTCTAATTTTTATTTTTTCTTGTCTTCTGCTTACTTTAGATTAAATTTGTTCTTCTTTTTATAGTTTCCTGAAATGAAAGCTTGATTATTGATTTTAGATCTTTCTTCTTTTCTAATATATGCGTTCAATGCTATAAATTTACCCATAAGCACTGCTTTTGTTACATCTCACAAATTTTGATGTTATATTTTAATTTTCATTTAGTTCAAAATATTTTTTAATTTCTCTTCAGATTTCATCTTTGACTTCTGTATTATTTAGACATGTTGTTTAATCTCCAAATATTTGAGGATTTTCCAGCTATCTTTCTGTTATTGATTTCTGGTTTAATTCCATTGTGGTATGAGAGCAGACAGGTTGCTCTATTTTTCAATGTGCTATATATTTGCCTTACCTTTCCATTCTTGAACACCTAAAACATCCTTTTCATCATTTTCATCTCTATTTTTAGTCTCGCATCATGTTCTAGGAGAAGTCATTCTTTATTTCTTGTCCTCCCATTCAGTCACTCCTTTGCTGTACCTTTTTATGCCTCACACTTTTTCTTCACAGTGGATATTAACATAAAAAATAATAAAAAAAGAAAAAACTCAAGAAGATGAAACATAAAAAATGTATATGTACAAGGATATTAATATGTCTATAAGTTGTTGCAGTCCCTTTAGCTGTGGTGCTGACGCCATTGATGAGGAGGGCCGTAGACTGGTATTTCATATAGTCACTTATTTTCTCCAGACTAAAATGATAAGCAACTGAAACAGTACATATTTCTTCAACCGCACCTATTGTACCATGATCGCGAAGGCCTGCATCATTCTGAAAATGTCTTAACACTTTTATTTGGGGGAGGGGGCTGGAAAAACAAAAGGCTAAGGATGATTTTAAGTACCTAGCCCTCATGAATTGAAAGTTCTGTTCCTACATTCTGGTAGATTTTTGCCTAAGCCACATTTAGTCACTCAGTTGGTCATATTACTCTTTGAACAGAGCTAAATACAATGGTACCCAATTCTTGTTCCAATTAGACCCAGCCTGACGAGTTAGCCCCCTTTAGAGGAATTATCTCTAAGGAAGGAAAGCATCAGTTTATTAGACCTAGTAGATTTCTGTGAAAAACAGTATATCTTACACAAGTAGTACTCTCGCCATTAAATGGCTCATCACTACATGGATTTCAACAAACTATGGCTCAAACCATATGTCTTGAAGTATGACGAATACATATGGAAAAAAAAATCTACTCTAAAATAATTAGCATTTCAAATGAAGCCAGCCTGTGGAATCTGCCCACTGCAGAGAACTTTGACCTAGCCAGTTAATAATTAGTACATTTCTGTACATGTTGCCAAATTTGTCTAAATAAATTGAGATTCCATCTCATAGATTAGAAGGACATAGGGTGCTCAGCTCTACTATGTATCTTTAAATAACTGGACTCAAATTTTACAACACTGCCTATATAGGAGATATTTAGATCAGGTGTAAGAAGGTTATTTTCTCTTGTCAAAGGCCTACTCTCAGGGAAGAGAAAAGAGATAAAAAGCTTAAAATTTTTCTAACCTTTAAGAACATATAGTAGAGCTGATTTTGCTAGACTTTTTGAAAAGCCGTCCTCATACTGTACTTATCACGGTGTATCGTTAATGGTTTAGGCAGAGGTTTATTTAGGGAGAATGCGAATTCTTTAAGGGGAAAAACAATATTTTAATTATCTGCATATCCCCAGTACCTAGTACAGTGTCTTATATATAGATGTTAGAAAAACTTAATTGTATCAGATGTGTTGTGACAAGTCCAGATTATTGCATGGGAAAACACCTAAACACTCAAATTGGTATCCATTCATTGTGACAGTAGTAAGTGCTTGCAGATTTCAAATACATACCCATTCTGAGAAGGGCTCCAGAGGGCCATTCATTTCCACTTGAATGAAACTAACATAAAGCAATACCTATAATTGCCAAGATATGTACACTTTAATTTGATTTTTATGTATATTTCTGCAGGTTAACTATTAGCAAGTCGCCATATCCCTCCCCTCCACATCTTCCAAACTGTATCTTATTTTTTCTGGGAGATTTTCTTGCTTCTTCACCACCTTTCTCAGTGTCTTCCTTTTTCTCATATTTCCTGGAAACTTTGCATATCCTTAATATTTTAGAAATGGATCAATAAATAATTCTCTCTTTTCTTCCCTTTTTTTTCCTAGTAGGACATACAAATGTCTGTCCATTTGTTTAATATTGAATTTACAGTAAACTCCTTCCTTCACTTATTTCTCTGGGTGCTGGTCTCCTGGCAAGAGTGGCCCTGAAGTCCTGACTGAAGATGCATTGCATTACGTGTAAATAATGTGCACAAAACCACAGGAAAATTGTTATAGTTTAATAAAGACTCTTTTTTTGATTTTTATGAAAATCCACCAACCTCTTTCAGGATATTTATTCAGCATACTCTCATTGTAAAGACACATCCCCGATGTTTTAAACTTAAATCCTTTAATCAGGATTTCCACTCACAACCCACTGTTCTCTCTTGTCCGTGTGGAACTTTGCACGCTCTTGCCTGTGGTAATGCCCACATGTCAGGCCACTGACCTTCACAGGTGGGATCTCCTGAGATGATCTCATCCCCACTGGTAGTTTTAACCACTCCTCATATGTTGATGACGCCCCCAAGTCTGGCTTTGATCTTTCTATAAGCTTCAGTCTCATATCCAATGGCCTGCTGAACATATAAACTGCCTCCAAATCACAAAGAAACTGTAAGAGCTATCTATCTTCTGAAGGATATAAACCAGGCTATAACACTGGTTACCTCAGGGGGATGGGAGTGAAGGGAGATGGGGAGATTAGCTTTGCTTGTCTATATTGTTTTTAGTTTTATTTCACTTTTCATAACAAGCATAAGTTAATGTTTTGGATATTACCAAATAGAGATGAAGAAGAAGGAGGAGAAAATGTGTCTTAGTTCAGGCTGCTGTAATAGAATACCATAAACTGAGTGGCTTATACACAACAGAAATTTATTTCTCACAGTTCTGGAGGCTGGGAAGTCCAAGATCAAGGCGCTGGCAGATGCAGCATCTGGTTAGGACCAGCTTCCTACTTCATAGATGGCCGTCTTGCTGTGTCCTCTCACAGTGGAAGGGGAGAGGAGCTCTCTGGGGTCTCTTTTATAAAAGCACTAATCATGAGGGCTCCACCCTCATCACCTAATCACCTCCCCAAAGCCCCACCTCCAAATACCATCACACTGGGGGTTAGGATTTCAACATATGAATTTTGGGAGGACACAAACATTTAAGAAGAAATTGCAAGAAGAAATGTCCTCTAAACCTATTCTCCCTGCTTTCAGTTTTGTTCTCCTCAAATCCGTGCTTCATACAAGTGATCTTTCTACAACACAAATCTGACAATTTCGTTCTTCTCCTTTAAACTTACATTCTTTTGAGCAATGGATAAAAATCTAGAATATTTAATGTGGCACATTTCTCCTTCTTTGACCCAGCACTTTCCTACCTGTACAGTTTTATCTGACACTTCCCGTCTTTCCTTGGTTTTGATACTGTAGCACCATCAACTTCCTGAAGGTTCTACCTACACCAGGCTATGTCTTGCCTCCATGCTTTTGCTTGTGTTTCCTCCCAGCTAAATGCTAACTCTCCTTTACACCCAGCCTGGGTGTCTCTTCTCTAAGAAGTCTTCCCTTCCGCTCATCCCTACTTGGGGGTAAGTGCTACTTCTCTGTGTTCCTGTGATAGCCTACTACAGTTGTCAAAGTGTGCTTCACAGATTTTGGGGGTTTCCCAAATCCTTGTTAGGGGCTCTGCCAGTTCAAAACTATTTTTGTAATAACGCTAAGATGACATGTGCCTTGTTCACTGTGTTGACATTTGAACAATTTGTGCAAAAGCAATAGTGGGTTTAACTGCCAGCACCTTAGCACAAACCAAGGCAGGCACACCAAACAGTACTAAAACCTATTGTATATTTCACAGCCACACATTTGGAAAGGGGAAAA